CCACCTCTCCCAAGCCCCGCCCCTCGAAAGCCCCGCCCCCTCCTAAGCCCCGCCCCACTCACGCCACTCATCCTCGTTGTCCTGGTTACGGCGCAGCACGGGCAGGCGGCAGCCCTCCGACACCTCGGCCTGACGGCAAAACATCACCGGGGCGGCTCCCAAAAAACCCCTACGGTTCCACCCCCACTCCCCCCCGCAACCCAAAACGACCCCCGATCCCCCCCCGAACGTCCTTCGGATCCCCGCGGCCTTCACTCACCGCCTCCGCCATCTCCTCGCCGGCCGCTTCCGGGTGCCGTCAGCCACTTCCGCTCATCTCCCCACCCACTTCCGCCTCTCGCCACACCCACTTCCGCTCCGCTCCCCCTTCCACTCCCGCTTCCGGCGGCGCATGCGCACGGAGCGGAGGGGGGCGGTGCGACGAAACGAAAGGGGGCGTGGCCTTCCCGGCAGCCTCGCTCACGTGACGGCGGCACTTCCGGGAGCGACGGCGCTGCACCGGCGGCGGAGGAGCGCGAAGGGCGGCCCCCTCCCCCCCCCCCCCCCCCCCCCCCCCCATCGCCCACCGCCGCCATCATGGAGCCCGGTGAGGCCGGAGCGGGGAGTGACGTCACGGGGACGGGGCCTGGGTGACGTCATGGGGGGGGAGGGGATCGGTGGGGGGTTCGGGGCTACGTTGGGGCTTAATTGGGGGTTAATTGGGAGTTCTGGGGTTAATTTGGGGTTCTAGAGCTAACGATGTGGGCCTGGGGTCGTCGGTGGGTTCTAGAGCTGCTGGGGGGTGGGGTTCTAGGTGGGTTCTGGGTTTATTTTGGGGTTATTTGGGGGTTCTGGGGTTAATTTGGGGTTCTAGAGCTAACGGAGTGGGTTTGGGGTCATCGTTGGGTTCTAGAGCTGTCAGGGGGGTTTGGGGTTCTAGGTGTGTTCTGGGGTTAATTTGGGGTTCTGGAGCTAACGATGTGAGTTTGGTGTTGTCATTGGGTTCTAGAGCTGTCGGTGGGTCTGGGGTCATCTGTGGGTTCTAGAGGTGTTGGTGGGTTTGGGGTTCTAGGTGGGTTCTGGGCTTCATTGGGGTTCTTTGGGGGTTCTGGGGTTAATTTGGGGTTCTAGAGCCTAACGAAGTGGGTTTGGGGTCATCAGTGGGTTCTAGAGTTGTTGGTGGGTTTGGGGTTCTAGGTGAGTTGTGGCCTTCATTGGGCTGATTTGGGGTTCTGGAGTTAATTTGGGGTTCTAGAGCTAACAGTGGGTTTGGGGTCATCAGTGAGTTCTAGAATTGTCAGTGGGTTTGGGGTTCTGGGTGGGTTCTGGGCTTAATTTGGGTTTATTTTGGGTTCTAGAGCTAATGAAGTGGGTTTGGGGTCGTCAGTGGGTTCTAGAGCTGATCCCCTCCTCTTATTTTGTTTTCTCATCCCCCCCCCCCAAAAAAAAAAACCAACCCCACCC